GAAGATCAAAGTAGAAGATATCCCTAAAATGGCCTTTAGGACCCGATATGGACATTATGAGTTCTTTGTTACCCTATTTGGATTGATTAATGCACCCACACTCTTCATAGATTTAATGAATAGGATCTTCAGGTCATTCTTGGATCAGTTTGTTATAGTATTCATTAATGATATCCTGCTTTACTCTAAGAATAGGGAAGAACACGCTCAGCATTTGACGTAGGTCTTACACACTCTCAAGGAAAAGAAACTATACCCAAAATTAAGTAAATATAGATTTTAGCTTGATCAAACTTCCTTTCTAGGACACATAATATCAAAATAAGAGTTGTCAGTAAACGCCGACAAGATTGAGGTAGTGACGAGTTAAAAATAACTGACTACGGTCAAGGAAGTTAGGAGTTTCTTGGGTATAGCAGGTTATTACCGTAGATTTGTAGAATAATTCTCAAACATGGCAGCCCCCTTGACATGACTCATAAAGAAAAATGTCAAGTTTAGGTGAAATAAGGAACGTGAAAAGTATTTTACAGAACTTAAAGGGCAATTGACTACCACACTGATGTTGGATATACTAAATGAAATAGACGGGTACACAGTATAAAATGATGCATCCTACTAGGACTTAGGTTGTGTTTTGATGCAACATGAGAATTTCATAGCTTATGGGTCCAGACAATTGCAAAAATATGAAAAGAAATATCTCACTCACAATTTGGAGTTTGTCGCAATCATACACGCCTTGAAAACCTAACGTCGTTAGTTATATGAAGAGATGTTTGACAACTATATAGATCATAAGAACCTGAAATACATATTCACACAAAAAAATCTCAACATGCATCAAAGCGTTTGATAGAACTTCTCAAGGATTATGATTGTAAGATCTTGTACCACCCAGACAAGGGCAACATAGTGGTCGAAGCTCTCAGCAGGAAGATTACAGGTATGTAACCTCATATGATGATCTTAGAGTGTAGATTGATAAAGGCCACGCTACGACTACAACTCCAAGACTTAAAACGAGCCACATGCCTTGCTCACTTAGCAGTTCGACCCAAGTTAATTCAAAGGATAAAGGAGGCTCAGCTAGCCGATTCCACTCTAACAGCCCAAAGCAAAGAGACGGAGTTCCGAGTCTCTGCATATGGGTTTCTCAAGTTTCAAGATAGGTTGTGTGTTCTTAGTGATAATAGTTTAAAGAGAGACATCATAACAGAGACTCACAGTTCAAAGTTTATCATGCACCTAGAAAGTACTAAGATGTACCAAAGCATACGTCCTCGATTATAGTGGAGCGAGAGAAAAAGGGATATTGCTGATTTCGTCTCCAAGTTTCTCATATGCCAGCAAGTTAAGTTAGAGCATCAACACACATGCGGGCTACTTCAACTGCTGCCGATCCCGAATTGAAAATGAGAACATATCACCATAAATTTTATAACGGGATTGCCCAGGGCATGTTCTGATCATGATGCGATTTGGGTAATAGTTGATCGACGCAGTAAGTCCTCCCACTTTCTAGCCATTAGAGTAACAGACTCCTTGGACAAGTTAGCAAGAATTTATATTCGAGAGATAGTTAGAGTGTATGAGGTTCCAATAACATTGGTATCAGATAGAGACCACAAGTTTACTTCTAGGTTTTGGACCAGTTTTCAACAAACTATGGAGACCAAATTATCACTCAATATGACTTTCAACCCTCAAACGAACGGATAATTAGAGAAAACTATTCGAACACTAGAGACATGTTCAGGGCTTATACCCTAGATTTTGGGGGACACTAGAATAATCACTTACTCCTGATAGGGTTCGTTTGCAACAACAGTTACCAAGCAAACATCGGTATGACTTTGTATGAAGTATTATATAATCGACCATGTAAATCACCAGTCTGTTGGAAATAATTAGTTGACAGAAAATTATTTGACCCAAACCCTATAGAGGATACCATAGTGAAGATTTCTAAAATCAGGAAAACATTCAAACAATTCAGAGTAGACATGCAAATGAGGGATTTAGAATTTGAGACAGGTGATCGAGTCTTCCTTAAGGTCACCCCCTGAAGAGCATCACTAGGTTTGGGAAGAAGAAAAAGCTGAATCCTCGATTTATCAGATCGTTCAAAATTTTAGATAGGATTAGGACATCCACCTACTAACTAATACTACCGCCATAATTATCTAAACTCCATGATGTCTTCCATATGTCAATATTGTACAAGTACAACCCGAATCTTTCACATGTTTTGTACTACAGATCACTTCAACTCTGGGAAAATCTTTCTTATGAAGAAGTACTCATCAACATCGTGGACCAGAAAGAGAGAGTGCTCCACAACAAGAGGATCCCCTTCATCAAAGTATTATGGCAGAATCCCTTGGGGGACGAGGCCAATTGAGAAATGGAGTTAGACTTCAAGGTTAAACACCTTTAACTATTTAGTGAATAATGAAAATTTGATGGACCAAATTTTCTTAACGGTGGGAGAGTTGTAACACCCTAAATTTGTGATGTAACCATTCAAATTAGAATTAAGACAAAAACACTTTGTTTTCCGTTTAATTTTGTCAATTTGCACTCATTTACCTCCTTTTATTTTATTTTCTATCATCGAACGAGTCAATAAAAATTTATTTATCACCAAATTATAAAGAAATAATTAAAAGGTTAATTTTTGACCTTTTTGAAACTAAATTCAGACACCTGTGCATAACAGTAAATAGGGAGAGACCTATTTGAAAAAAATTTCGGAAGGTACGGGTTAGTTCCTAAAAAGGAGAAGAAAAACCCCAGATGGGATGCCCAGTTAATGGCACGACGAATCACCACACGCTGCGTGGCAACCATGTCAACACGGGCTCCACGCGGGAAACCACACTGACGATCCGCATGTCAGGTTGATTGGACGGCTCGGGGCCATTCCTGCCCACGTGAACGACACAGATTGACTTTCTAAAGAGGTTCTATCAAACGGCCCACATGACTCCAAATCTCTAATATCGAACGGCCTAGATGAATTCCCTAAATTGGCCAGATCGGGTGGCCTTCATTGCTCCACGTGGCCCCGCACGAACGACCCAGATTGAAGAAGTAGAGGTATTTAAGCCTCTTTTGGTTGGCTCCCCAAACCCTAGCAGTCAAGTCGACCGGGGAAGAAGAAACAAGGGGAACCAGAGGGTGCTTAGGCACCAGTGGAGCTGGTTGTGCTGTCGTGCCAGAAGTTAAAAACAACACTAATAAGTGCAATTTTGCCCCCATTAGTCAAAATTTTCCGTTCTAAACCATTTAAAACTATCCTTGATGTAAAAAAACCCAAGGGAAAGTCATAACTAGAGAATGTAGGCGGTAGAACCGGTTGTGCCGCCATGCCAAAGGCTTTATCAAAGCTGGTAAAGTCAAAATTCCCTTATTTTATTCTGCAAAATACTCCCCAACTACGATTCAAACAAATTTTCACCTAGAATCGGACAAATTTAGTTTGGTCAGGAGAGAAGCATTAGAGAATGAGGACCAAGCTACAGAGCTTGACGACGCTGCTACGCCAGAATCCCAACCCAACCCAACTTCCGGTGAGTGTTCTTTGCCTTTTTTGCCATCATTTACGTATTTTCATGCTATTTTGATACACGTTTCTAAATTTTAATATAAAACCTCAATAAATTCAAGAACCGGGAACTGTCGCAAACAGTAGTGAAAAACACAATGTCTTGAATACTGATCCAGAATAAGGATCCCTCAAGCTTTTTTCTATTATAGTTAAATTATATTAAAAGATAATAAACGATAATTTTAAACTTTTCTGTGAACCCTTGATAATTAAATACAGGTTGCCAATGGAGGTGGTTAAACGATTGTCTATTTCACCATTAGTTTTACTGTGTGCTACCTATTCGTTATTTTTGTCTCAATTCTTATCTTATGGAATTTATTATTTTTTCTTTCTTATTTATTTTTAATTTACTTGCTTTGTAGTCGCCTATTCTCGTTCTATTGGCCTAACCTATTTTCATCCTTATCCCGCCATGTCTATCTAGAACTCATGCATCAGTTATGTATCTTGGATCGTTGTATTTGTTTTATTTGTTTTCACTCCATGTTGTTTATTTATTCTGTTCTGTTTATTTATCATATCTTGCCTGGTTAATTTAGTTGTGACCTATTTATTTCATTTTACTGTTCATGTTCTTGTATATTGAGGATTTTATCCAATCATGACATTTTGCTTCGTTTCTATTTACATTTTCTTTATTTCTTAACAGGTTTGGAAACATAAATTTTATATTCTATTATTAATTAAAGTAGGGATCTCACGTAGGTTAAATACAATGAAAAATATGCATGCATAAATCGATAAAAAAGGCCTACTTAGTATCACCTTAGATACTTAGTCGATGGTTTGATGCCACTCTAGGCCTCCGCATATGTCATCTCCTTCACAGCCTTTGTAGGTAGCATGTTGAGTAGGAACATGGCAGTGTTAACTACCTCAGCCCACAAAGCTATAGGCAAGTACTTGTCAGCAAGCATGCTTCTTGCCATCTCCACAATGGTTCTGTTCTTCCTCTCTGAGACACCATTCTGTTGAGGAGAATATGGTGCCGTGAGCTGCCTTTTGATCCCATTCTCAGAACAGAAGTACTTGAATTCACTAGAATTGAATTCAAGGCCATTATCTGTCCTTAGGCACTTCAGCACACAGCCACTTTCCTTCTCTGCCATAACCTTAAATTTTTTGAATTCACCGAAAATTTGAGTTTTATTCTGCAGGAAACAAACCCAAATCATCCTGAAAAAATCATCTATGAATAAGCCAAAATACCTGCATCCACTCATGGAGTTTTTTGTCATCGGACCATAGATGTCAGAATGTATAAGTGTCAGCCTCTCTTCTGCTCTCTAATCTTTTTGCGAAGGGAAAGAATTCCTTGCCATCTTCCCCATCTGGCAGGCACCACATACTGACTCAATGACTGCAATGTTTGGGAAGTCCTTGGTTAGGCCTCCCTTCTGCAGTTGTTGTAGCCCAACCACATGAAAATGCCAAGGTGCTTGTGCCATATCTCACCTTCTGTCACAGTGGTAACACTGGCCTTCTTGACTACTTTTCTAAGCTTCAAGGAGTAGGCTTGATCCTTCTTTTGGATGAAAGCAATCAATCTATCCTTAGGATCATATATCCTGCAGCAATTATCCTTGAATGCAACTGAATAGCCTCGATCAGTCATCTGATTCACACTCAAAAGATTCTGTGAGAGGGTAGGAACAAAATTCACATCAGTGATAAGCTCCCTAGTTTCAATAGTTATATTACCTTTGCCCTCAATGGAGTTTCCAACATACCATTTCCAAGCCGTACCTGGCCTGAGACTGTTTTGTCAAGTGACACGAACAAGGCCTCATCCTTGCACATGTGGGAGGTGCACCCACAGTCCACCACCCAGAGAGTATCATCCTCCACTGACAGCTCACTTGATGCAACGAGAATTGTAGTACATTGCTCACTGGACACCTCGGTGACATTGGCATGTTGTAGTTCCTGCTTTGGCTGCGATCCTTCCTGCTTCTGTTTCTGCTTGCAGAATTTTTCCTTATGACCAAGCCTTTTACAGAAGTTGCACCGAACGACTTTCTTTCCCTTATACCAGCACTCATTTTCAAGGTGATTTATCAAGGAACAGATGCTGCACTAAGAATATTTTTTTTGCTTATTGGAATTTTGATTTCCAGTTTGATTCCCTTCACTCATTCACCCTTGATTCTGTGTTGAAGAGCTACCTTTAATTTGAGTTGAAATTAAGGTTCCCTCGGTATGTTGTCGAACATGCATATTTACCTGCTGCTCACTAGATTGAAGCTTGTTTATCAGCTCAGCCGAGGAGATAGATTCAATGTCGGCAAGCTCCTCCAAGGCTGAGATTTTAAACTCTAATTTAGGGGTAAGCTGATAAGAATCTGCTCTACCACCCTTGATTTCGGAAAATCCTCCCCCAAACAGCCTCATTTTGTTTACCACATCCAAGAGTTTGGAGGCAAAGTCCTTCACTGATTCATTTTTCTGTATTCTGAGTAATGCAAACTCACTCTTCAATCTCAAGATTTTTATCTTCCTGCTTCTGACTCCCCCATTGAACTCTTCCTTCAGTTTTTCCCAAGCAGCCTTTGGTGATTCGAAGTTCATAATCCTTAAAAACACCTTATCCAAGACAGTCGAGAAAAGGCAAGCAATAGCCTTTAGTTTCTTGGTCTTGTCTTCCTCGTACCTTTTGATTTGGTTTAGAGCGGGAGTGTCCCCTATTGGAGGAAGATTGCTGTCATCCATAATAACATCCTACAGACTTAAGGCTTTCAGATGGGCTCGCATTTTGATTGCCCATACATGGTAATTTTCTCCGTTGAAGTGTGGGGGAGGTGAGGTTCTAGTGGATGTCATCGGATTTTTGAGGGTATGTTGATTTACCAGTTCCTTAAGATAAGGGCTCTGATACCACTTGTTGATCGTAAGTAAATGAGGTTCAAAGGAAGCTCTGTGAATGAGCGAACTTAGAGAGAGAAAGTTGATGAGAGAGAAGGACAGCAAAACAGAGCAAGTTTATGCAACAGCTTCTATTTCGCAATTTTCAGAAATACTGTGTTTTTGGAGAAGAAAAGACTGCTTCTCATTTCATTTCTTGCTTGTATATATAAGAATGCAATAATAGAAACAGATTACATCAAACCAAACGATAAAATCAAAAAACCCGAAATCCATACATACTCGTTGCATGGTGTTTACGTATCTTACCGTGAAACAACTTCACGGTCGATTTGAATTCAAATTTGAAACTAAACATATAAAAAATCATTAAATTTAACAATGATCATGTTTTTTATCTTGATTCTGAATGGACTGTTGATTCAGCAGCATCCTACCATGCTACACCCATGAGGGATACCTTTACTATATATAAAGCAGGAAACTTCGATAAAGTAAAGATGGGTAATATTAGTTATGTAGATATTGTGGGTATTGATGACGTTTGTGTATAGACAGATGTTGGTTGCACATGGACTCTGAAAAATATGTGATATGTATTTGATTTATGCATAAATCTAATTTCTACACATGTTTTGGATCTTGATAATTATTACAACTTATTTGGTGGTAGAAAATAAAAACTCATCAGAGGTTCAATTATGGTTAAAATGGTTAGATTGTGTCATATACTGTATAAGACTCAAGTGAAGACACTTATAGATACTCTGAATGCAGCAAAAGAAGATGTTTTGCCAGACTTGTAGCATAGAAAAGTTAGCTCATATGAGTGAGAAAGGATTGCAGATTCTGGTAAAAAAGTCTCTTATTTCCGTTGCCAAGGTACGAGTTTAAATTCTTGTGATCATTGTTTATATGGTAAGTAGCATAGAATTTCTTCTAGCTATTCCTCTAAAAGAAAAATGAATGTACTTGAGTCAATCTATTATGATGTATGTGGTCCTATTGATGTGGAATCATTAAGTAGTAGTAGATACTTTATTACATTTATTGATGATGCTTCATGAAAAATTTGGTTGTTTGTTTTGAAGAGAAAAGATCAAATTCTACAGTGTTTCAAGCAGTTCCATGTTATGATAGAAAAAGAAAAAAAAATATTTTTAAAGTGTCTTCGGTAAAAGTGTTCCTCGCAATGATAATGGTGGCGAATACACTTCAAAAGAATTTGAGAATTACTGTTTATAGTATGAAATTAGACATAAAAAGATTGTTCTAGGTACCCTTCAACACAATAATATTTCTGAAAGAACAAATATAACCATAATAAAGAAGGTCAGATGTTTGCTAAAAATGGCTAATCTACCAAAGCCATTTTAGGATGAAGCACTTTACACCGTGTGTTATATAATGAATCTCTCTCCATCAGCTGCTTTGAATTTTAACATTCCTGATAGAGTATGGTATGAGAATGATGTTAACTACTCTCACTTGAAGGTACTCAGGTACAAGGCATTTGTGCATATGACTAAGGAGCAGAGACATAAACTAGATGATGAGACTATTACATGCATTCTTCTAGGTTATAGAGATATAGAGTTTGAGTACAAGTTATGGGATCTAGTGAAGAAGATAGTCATCAGGTCCAAATATGTAATCTTTGATTAACATAAGACCTTGTTAGATTTTGAGATACAAGAGAAGACTACAATTTAAGAGATTCATTTTCTCGCACTAATTCCTCCTATAATCAGAAATGTCAGTAATGAAGGAGATGGAAGTGATAATATGTTAGCACCAGTAGATGTAAATGATGATGTTGAACAGGAGGAGCAGTCCTTTCTACATCAAATTGTTGAAGAACCTTAGGTTAGAAGGTCAAATAGAACACATCATTTATTTACTAGATATCTCAATTATGAGTATATTACAGTTATTGAAGAGGGACAACCAGAGAACTTCAAAGGAGTGTAAAATCATAAAATAAAAAAAAGTTCAGTTGGGTACTATAAGGGAGTCAATGAAGACAAAGACAACTCCTTGATGACTTAAAAAGAAAATGTCAAGTTAAACTACACGTTAAAAATAATTTATCATCCTACATATTAAATGCGTGTTTGAGTTGTGAGTTTTAAAATACTTATTAATTAAAAATATTTTAATAAAAAATTATTTTGTGTTTAATTAAAATAACTCTAAAAAATATTATTACTTTAAAAAAAAAGTAAAAGTTTTGTGTTTAGTGAATTTTAAATATAAATTTTGAATAAAAATAATAATAATTTTTTAAAAATCATATCTTGTAATTTTTTTACTTTAAATTTATCATTTTAACTTTAAATGTCGTCAAAAGTATTTTACAATTTACTTATTTAGTTATAAAAATATTTTTAAAATGCAAAAATCATAACTACAAACCTGTATTTATCTATTATAATTTTCTTTAGTTAAATGTGGTAATGTTTCCTCACACCTACACGACTCCATGACAAAAAAAAAAAAAAAAAAAGAAGCAAAAAAATATTTGAGGCTTCAATTATTTTTTAACATTTAAAATACAAAGCTTTTATTTTACTCTTGGAAATGAATTTTATGTGAGAATTAGTACATATTTTATAATATATGATGGTAAAAGAACTTGAGCATATGTGGTTATAGATAATGATAAAATCATTATAAATTCTATTTTTTCTTCTGGGTAGAATGTAATTCTGTACTAAACAAGAATTGAAACTGAAATTTCTATCATACGCTGACTATTTGTCCAAAAATCGTTTGTTATAAAATTATTACAATTGATAATAGAGTGAGAAGTATTTCACTCTCCTTCGTCCCTATCTTCCTCTCCTATTATATTCAATGGAGATGTGTTTTATTTTCCTATTTATGTTTCTGATAAAAATTGAGAATTTATATTGAATTTAGGGTAACCTATTCCTAAACTTAAGGTAGGTTTTTTAGAATTTAAATTAACAAACTTGAAGTGTGTGAGAGAGAGAGAGAGAGAGAGAGTAAAAGAAGAGGAGAAGAAGAAGTTTGAAAGGATACATATTGAGAGATATGATTAGCATGCCCTCGCAAGTCCGCCACGAACGTCAATGAATTTTAATTTAATGGTTGCTTCTGTTTCTCTACATGTTAGAAAATATTTTTTACATTTTTATCTTGTGCAAGTTGCTCATATATTACACAATATATTAAAATGTAACAATAAATAAGTTACTATAAATAATATATATATATATTATTATTCAATGAGACAGTTGTGAACCCAACTTCTAGACAAGTAATCTAAAGTTGGCCGAGACAATTGAGGAATTAAATGATTAAAAAGGTTGGTGAAAGAATATTCCAACTCTTGTTTATGTTAATATTAATTAAAGTGAAAAACTTTTATTACTGTAACCCAGGAATTTTGGTTCAACAATTTATATATGATTTCGTTTATGTATGGAGTGTTATGTTAGTTTTAACTTCTGCTTATGTCTTACAAAAATGCAATATTATTTTTTCAATTTGATTCTTACAGATTAAATCAAAAATAATTACGAATGAATATTTCGCGTATATATTTAATGTGTGTTCTTAATTCAAGTGATTGAATGGATTGATAGGTGTGTAAAATATAGGCATAACAACAGGAGATGAATACGGCAATAAGCATTTAAGTTGTGGTACATATCAACTCGATCTTTCTTCAAATATGGGATGGGAATTGGGATCCCACTAATCCTGTCCTCTTTCACTTGACAGCAGGCCTGCAAATATTTCGCACCACATGCCCCTCCTACTACTGTCACTGACTGCATTAAATCAAGTTGGTGACAGCCAACGACTCCATCTAATACATATTTTCTACAGACAAGAATCTTAAGTTACCACTTTCCGAATATTATTGTTAAATTCAAAAAAAAAAAAAAAAAAAAAAAAAATCAACATATTTATAATTTCTTTTTTTTTTTCACAAAAAATTCAATTCGGTGCATTATTTTAATTCATGAAAACAGGATTTTGGTGTCATACAGATTGAAAACAGGCCATATCTTGTTATAAATGCTTTAAGGCGCCAAGAACAAGAAGCATGCAAGAAACCAAACTCAATAGACAAAATTAATATAAATATTTCAAATTAAAATTTCTAAGTGCTCAAATATGAGAAAAATGCGACAAAAGAAAAAGACACAAATAGAGAGGCACTAAGACAAGGAGACAAAAAAGCTGAAACAACATTGCTGGCAATTACAAGGCATGGCATCCACAGTTATTTTTATATATACAATACATGAACCGCCCAACAATACATTATATGTGTATATGTATTATTTTATTATTACTATGTACATAAATAGAAACAATAATAAGAAAAACAAAAGAGCTAAATCATTATCCTCTGTCATTTGGCCTAATATTAACAGAATTGGGGAGAAGTTGTCGGTAGTGTTCTTACCACTGAAAACTAACAGTCAACCCACTTTCCCTTTCCCTTTCCCTTTCCCTTTCCAAATAGCCACAAAAAACAAAGAGACAGACAAACAGCTTTCCCATGAAAAACCATGTTTACATCATATGAACCAGACAAGCCATTTCTCTCATCTAACTTTAATCCTTAAAAAAAGATAAAAATCAAGATAATGGCCTCCAGTTTAATCTCTGCTGGTGGATTAAATATTATTTACCTCTATTTTTTTTGCATTTGATGGATGATCAAAGGTTTTCCCCTGGTATGCAATTGAGATAGATATACCTGAGATTGTATTACTGTTTTACCAATCCTGAAACCTGGAACCACCGTGAATGCTACTCTTGGCTCCGATCCCACACTGTTACTCGGTGATAGAAATGCCTCATCTGTTACACTCTCCATGTATACTTCAGAGAATCTACACCTCTTGGCTACTTGAAATATTGAGGCTTCAGGATCATAGGAGAATGCTAAGCAATGTAAGAGCCAAATGCGTTTTGCCATTTCTGAGAATGAAGCAAAGAAGGTAGTGTCTGGGAATTCGCCGGATGTTACTTGACTTCTTTGCTGTAAATTGCCAAAGAAAGAAGTCTCCATCTTGGGATGAACAAGTTCCAAGTACTTGGTACGGCAGAATTTTCCAAATGTTGATCTAGGCTTCATGGTAAGATATTCCTTTACTTTCATAGATTTTAGTTCGTTGAATCTCCTAAAGAAGAGCTCTTGCTGTCTCCTTTTCTCGGGAGGAAGTTCATTTGAAATTGAGAAGTTGGGAAGATTGAATCCTTCAAACATTACCCTGCAAACAAAGAAGTCAAAGGCGAAACCTTTGTCATCCGCCTTGTAATAAGACACACCAGGTTCAATTGAAGACACTGCTGCATCAATGTCCCAAATAGCTGCCTTCATCTCCTCAATCATCAACCTTACAAAACTCCTGATCGCCTTCACTGTGTAACGAAGAACCGGAAGGAAATGGGCCGGATTTAAGCCTGACAAATGAACATTATCAAGCACAAACAATGAACCACTTTGGTTGACTCTCTTCTCTATAAAGCTGTTCTGCTTATTGCATTCTTCCAGCTTCCCTCGAAGCAGTATAAGCTCAGAGTCCTTGAGTTTCAGCTGAGATTCCAACTTCTTTCCCATTACCTCGTATGTTTTCAGAAGGCTTCTTTGTTCTTGAATTTCAGCTGACAGCATCGTCTTCTTCGGAGAAAGATCATACTGCTTTTTCAAGAAACATCGTTTGAGTTCAGACAAAGCTTTCAACTCAGATACAATTGATTGATCAGCAGCCTGAATCTTATCCGGATCATAAGGAGACTGAGCAAACTGCAACTGTGCATATGATGCTTTAACTGATGAAACTGTGGCGAAAAGTTTAGCAAGAAGTGCTTCCAATGCCACTCTTCTCTCGAACTCATCATCAAGTTTGTCAAATGATTGAGAAAGATTAACACCCTTATTGAAGCTAGTGTCATATTTCACCGTCTCTTGGGTCTTCACACCATTTTTGGTCACCGCGCGAATGTGAAGAACTTTGGCAAAGGTGCGAGCTAGTTTACTCTTTGATTGAGTAACAGCGGATGGCTTCACGGATTCCATCTGCAGAGGATTACAAAATGATGAGAAGGATGATAAGAAATACTAAAGGAAAAATATGGAGGAGGGTAACTCAAGTAGTGGAGGTGATAATGACGAGCGTGTTAAAGAAAAGGGAAAAAGCAATATATGCTTTAACACAAAAACCGAGACTAAAAACAGAGGATGGAAATTCTTTTTGTTTGAGTTGTTTTCGACTTTAACAAGTCTGCAATTTGCTCACTTTGAAGGAGGTAAAAGAAGAAGATTGTTCTAAACGTGGATTACATGTATAGCTATGTAAGCAGAGAGAGGAGGAAGAGCTTGGAGGGTGAAGAGGAAGGATGAGAGGAAAAAGCACCAAACATACCTACGCAATTTTAGTAACTTGATCATTATATAATTTCTCTAACGTCATATGCCATTTGGTAGGAAGAATCAACAGGGGAAGAAATGTAATTGAGAGATTTAATGAAATTCACTGGTGCAAAATCATGAATATAGGCCCCCCATTCTTTTCCATGCATCAGTTTACTTTTCCTTTTCGGGTCAAATATGCCTGCTGTGTGTGCAGAAGGATATCTAATATAATAAATCTTTACATTAACTATTAAATAAATCTTGACATAAAGAAAAAAACCATTAAATATGGATTTCAATATGCTACAAAACATGCAAATACTTTGAACTTTTACATGCCGCCTAGCTAAAAACATATATATAATAAACAACGGTCAGTATTATTCATAATGACACATAATGCATTCTAACAACAGACCGTCCCAGAACGCTGAAAATAAATTAAGGGCATTTTAGTAAATCCAATAAGAGAAATAATTGTAATTTACATAATCATCACAGTTAAATTCTTTATAAATAAATGCAAATAATTATTTGGACCATAATACTCGGCTAATTCATCAAAGAAGTCAATACCTCCATGGGCAATTATATGGTTGCAAACATCTGGCAATTACTTGACCCCACAACACTTAAAAATACGAAAAAAGCCCTCCACCTCCCCAAACCGATTTTTTAGACCTTTGCAATGAAAAGGGGCCAAAAGGAAAAAAAAATTTAAAAATAAAAAGGAAGAAATTATTAAGAGCAACTCATTCACACGGTAAGATGATTCACATCTCTTAGGATTCTGTTGGATCCGGTCCGGGCATCTGCACCCTAGATATATGTGCCCTAAGGAAAGATACCTTGAGATTTTTCGGTTTGTAGACCCCACAATAGAAATAATTCTACAGGACTGATTTGGGATTGTTTACTGTTCAACCGTACATGATTTTCTCTTTCGTAAAATCACGTGGCCACAGAAATATCTTTCCCTATTTCTCCCACTCAAGAACACAATAATATCATCCGCACGAAAACACTGGAGACTTTACCCACTGGCGCTTCACGACCGTTGGATTTCTGTACATTATGCTGTCTCACAAAATGCACTCAAATCTCGATGAAAATAGGTGCTGCAGAAATCCAACGGTCACTAAGCTAGCTGTCTAACTTTTCCATTAATTTATAATGGTTTTGTAATATAATAGTTAAAGCGATGAGGATCATGGTGGTTTATGATAGTTATAAGAACCCATGAGCTCTAATCTTCCAAAAGACACAAAAATGGGAAAGAAATAAAGATAAGTAGTAGTAATTACAGAGATTTAGAAGTGAAGAAAAAGAAGACCCACTGCTGATTTTACATTTTTCAACTGCTAAATTGTAAATGAAGAATCATATTGATAATAAACATAAATAATTTTTAAGTGATATTGTGTGATTACTTGAGACAATTATATGATTAAATAATCAAAGATGTATAGAAAAATGCAATTGTGGTTCAGTCATGACTCCATAAAATTTTTTCTTTTGAGTAAAAAAAAAGATATTGCAGGGCCCATAATTTTCATTTGTTCAATATGTCAAGTTCTCACACACCTAGTATGCAAAAAGCAAAGACATATTTGCAGCTACAATAGTTGAATAAATAAATTAAAAAAAAAACAAATAATAACACACATTAAGAGAAAAGAAAATTCATCTACTTATAACCCAAAAGAAAATAAAAACATCTCGTATTCCAACCTATATATAATGACACATTCAAATTTGAGATTCAAAAAGATTTTAAGCTTTTAATATTCTGGTAAAAGAATAGATTAAGAAAATGTGCAACAAAATAAAAAATAGTCAAATTTAAAATCAAATAATCTTTTAGTTAAATAATTAGTCAAATCATCTTTTATTACATTTGATTAATTTTGATAATCCTCCTTAAAACCACTGTAATGGACAAACAAAAAAGATTAAAACATTGATTTAGGCAAGGTCAAGATCACATGTGCTTAAACCCGCACGTCATTTTATTAATAAATCGAAAATATTTACGTGGTAAGCACGCTCGCTTAACTATGCATAAGAAGCAGGGTCCACCCTTGGTTCCCACAAAATCTATCATATCACATACTAGGATCCAGATGCAACCCCGCACCAGACCCACACTATATGCTACAGGCTTAAGCATAGGCCCTACCCATCACCGATGCGCAAACACTGTAGAGCAAAACGGCATCGCCAAGCTAAAGATGTGATTAGTAGTAAAATCTCCCTTACTGAGAATTTAATTAACAGTACAGAAACTCAAAATTTCATTTAAATTCATAATTTTAAAAAAAAAAATGACAGAAAAATTCCTAAAAAATGTAATAAACATCCAGAAAAGAAAATCAATCCCATAAAAAATTAAAAATTTAGCAAGTTTAAATTTAAGTTCGATTCATACCTTGAAAAGTTACGCCAGAAAATTTCACTTCAAAAGGTGAATCTGAAGAAGTAAGAAGACTCGATATGGCAAGACAAAACTATCATTTCCTTCCACTGTTATTGCAACCGCCATTATCAAAAATAGGAAAAGGAAGAAACGAGATAAACAAAAACATAACCAGAAAAAGTGAACATCAAAATCAATCTACGGCCTGTAATTTCTAATACATTTAAATTTTATTTTATAATTAAATCAAACGTGAAAATTAGTTAAATGTTTAAGTGAAATGTAAGTTATTGGATCCTAAAAATACACAGCTAAACAATTAAAAAAACAGAAGATATACATATATATATATATATATGCACTTCAGTTTTGCTTCAGAACGCAAAAATGAGAAATAGAGACAATAACAGAGTACCAAACTAACACTGATCAAATCAGAATTTCAAAAACAAAGTACAAAAAAGAAATAAACAAAACAACAGAAATGAGTTTAAGGGAAGAAACTGGAGAACAAATTTCTCACAAAATTTTTGGTTCGCAAAGAAATCAATATAATACAACCCTCAGGGAAATCTCAATAAAGTAACCAAAAAGTAAGCGCTCTTACATATATGAAGCAAAAGCCAGTTATAAGAACCGCCGTTAGATGAAATGACGATCGGTAAAATAGAAAAACCCACCGAAAATAAGAACAGAGTAAATTTCAATATAATACTTGTATCGTATAGAAAATGAAAAGAAACGCCTCCGTGAACACCATACCTTGCAGAGAAGAAACTTGCGATGTTGGTAGAAGAAGAAGATGATGACGTTGATCGAGAGAAATTGCGTTTTGACTAGAAATTTAATCACTCAACGTCCCGAAAATCCCTTATTATTTTCGGTCGATTATTGATTTCGTCGTATCAGAACTTGCTTTTCCAAAGCAGAGACCGAATTGATTTCCCCATTTAAGAGACTAACCCGACCTCGCAGCGACAGAGAAAGTTCCAGGCAGAGAGAAAGCGAGAGCTCGAGCGGAGAGATATGCGAAAAGACAAAAAGGGACAGATCCAGAGAAGAAAACGCTCAGACTGGGGGAGACATTGGGAATTAAAAAGACGATTTAGCTTCGGTGTATTCAAAGTTTTTAATCTTACATTTTTACCCTTCCAGTTACCGGATATTACAAGTTCTGTTATGCCGTCAGGAGGGATGGGTGGGTGGGAGATTCCGATACCCAGCAGAGGTATTTTCGGCAGTCAAGTAGCACAACTGTAGTTTACATGTATACGTAGATCTTACAGGAGTCTATGATCAGATGGCGGGAAGATGTACGGTTGACAATTGTCGTTAGGAGTTGTCTTGTGTGACCACGCACAGCGTAAGATTCATGTCAGTGGGACCCAATTGAAACGTGGGGAGCGATGAATGGTAGAGGATAGCAGTGGGCCCAGTGCGTTACCGATTCTTTTGCCATTGATGATCCCAACTGGCATCTGCTCCTTGACAGTTGTGTGTTCTTATTTGAGTTGTGTGCGCCAAAAATTGCAAGCTAGAAAAAAAAATATAAACAAATAAATTTAAAAAATATCTATTCTAAATTTTCAATGTAGTAAAAATCATTAAATTAAAAACCATCATTGTCAATATAGTAAAAAAATTATTTTAGGTATATTATGCGTTTAATAGTTACATAACTATAATATTTAGTTTATTAATATATTAATAAAATTATGCTAACAAAATATAATGTAATCTTGATAAGGTTATTATGTTTGTCGGTATTATTATTATTATTATTATTTTTATAAAAAAAAGTAGAAAAACACATTCCTATTAAAGAATAAAAATATATTTAGCTTTCGGATGAACCCTACATTATAAAATAAGATAGAGTAACATCATTTTTAATCATATGATTTTAATTAATTCACCTCATTTGAAATGAATTTTCTTTCACGTTATGATGATTATTTTGGACAAGAAAAGGACCACCAATCACTTTTTTAAATCCTAATCTTATATAAAAACAGAAGAAGGGTGAGTTAAATAAAAATATCTTATTTTAATAATTATTATTATATAAAAAAATATTGGAACTTTAACCACTTCATAATATATTTATTAATAATAAGACATTATTAAAGTACATGAAAAATAAACAATTGATCGTTTCTCCAAAAAAAAAAACAAACAAAAAAGCATTTGATTATTTGAAAAAAAAAAATTAAGTTATTTTTGTTAATTTTCTTAAATAGAACAAATGATATACATGTGGTGAAGTGTATATTAAGATGTAAAATGTGATTTCTCTCATTCCATTTTAAAAAGTATAAAGAGTTTCTCATGATACAACAAATTTTATAAAATAAATTATATTATTTTTTAAAATTATATTTCAATTTTTTAGTTAGTGTAGAATATTAAGAATTATTTTTCAATATACATTTATATATCTTAATATTTAAGTTACACTTATGTATTAATAAAAATATCAATTCACCAATAAAAAAAATAGCATATTAACAAATATCTAAAATAAGAGAAGTATATAAAGAGATATATATTGAAAAATATATGTTATACTATACATATATATATATTATAAGGGTATATTTCTTGTATCAAATCTTGGAATGTTTTGGTGGTGGAAAAAAAATCCTTTGAAAGGGATATAATTTGGCAATTAAGGAAATTTGGTCTTTTTTGTTTTTGTTTGAATTCAAGAGCTAATACTCGTTCATATTGTCTGATTAGAAAATGCCCCACAATTAAGTCAAAGAAATATATACATCATTGCATAAAAGCTGGGACCTAATTTATCTTAATAAATATTTATTCATTTATATGAATTTACGAATTATACCAAGAGGGAATATATATATATATATATATGTATGCATACATGACACCTCATATTTTCTTAATTACTAAGTTGACATTTCTCAATAAAATATTATATGAAGTTTCAACAATAAATTCACCAACAAATGAACATAATTAGCCTCCCAAGTAATACTATATATATATATATATATATATATGTATGCATATATCTAATATTTATTGGAGAAGTTATAAGGAGCAACAAAAGCTGAATATTTATAATTTAAAATTTAAATATTTTGTGAACTTTTAAAATAAATAATTATGAGTGAATTTCTGTAATATTTGGGTCTGGAATTTGGCCCGGGATAAATTTTCTAACTTATAAAATATATAATTAAAAAATATGATTTTAATCTAATTTTATTAAATTATTTGAAAAAAATAAGTTAGGGACGAAATTAAAAGTAATTTAGAGGAAGATAGATGAAATTTTAAATTTAGTGGGTGTTTTTAAAAGAAAATTGAAAAAAAAAAGTCAAAATACAAAAAGGAGAAATTCGGCCACATGGGATGGCTCAGTCAGCAGCCACGGCGAACAAGAGCACGCTGTGTGGCAAAACATGTTGACATCAGTGCCACTGAGAGGCCACGCAAGAGATCAGCATGCCTAGCGATCCGACGATTCAGATTCAATCTCACGCGCATGAGCGACTCAAATGCATTTCCTCCTTAAGTGCAATTGAACGGATAAGATCAATCACGATGAACGATTCAGATTCGTCCATGCAATTGGGCTAAACAAGCAACGATCATACGACTCTCATCGCTCCACGTCAACATGAATGGAAGGTCTAGATCGACGCGGGATAAATATATAAATGTTGCATCATAGGGGAA